TCTAACTGAATCGAAGGGAACTCCTTAGATCTCACCCCACTCTCACCTTGAAAATTTTCATTTGAGTAGCCGTCGCCAACTATTTCCCCTAATTCAAGTAACTGAACTTCTTGGCTGTTATGATCTGTATTCTCTTCAAGAGAAGACAATTAATTGGCATAACAACAGAGTCAAGAAAAAATGAGGTGGAAGTATGATCCAATGCATACCTTGAAAATTTCTCCTTCTCCAACGGAAAATACCTCCACAACAGAACAGAGTGACGCCAAAAATGGCGGATAAACTTGCAACAATAGGAATCCACTTTGGTTCGCCTTGTTTGCCACCTAAGTCTGGTACTCCAGGATTCTTGATTATCGTAGTGTTTGCTGATTCGTCTTGAAGTTTTCCATAAAATGGATATATTTCATACCTGATGTCACAGCTTGGTCCTAAAACTCTCGCACCTTGTTTTCCAGTCGCGAAAGATAGGATTGCAGCAATTGAGCTACGTAGACAAGATTGACAGTCTGCAACTGACAAATCAGGGGTGCATTGAACAAGTCCATACAGCGTCATGAAATTTGAAACATTAACTTCTGTAGTTGCATACATGTGGTTAGAAACATTTGAAAGCATCCTAATCAGATTGTCGAAAGTCTCGGCCAGACTCTTTTCAAATTTATCAAAGCCCGTTACATTTGCAGTATTATACATATAAAAAGAAGGTGATAGCTCCATGATAGAGAAGAAAGATCTATAGGAATAGCGCATCAGGCATTCATCATAAAATATGATCGCTTCTTTTTTGCCAGCGCAATCCTCTACGATCCTAGCCCTTGCTGCGTCAATGCAGCTTTGGCAGATATTGGGTTGAACATCACCTCTACAGAGGAAAAGGCCATAAACCTTGTCTGGATTTTCACCTAACGTATCGTTAAAGAAACCATAAAAACTGCCTTCGTCATAAAGCCACCGGATGAGAAGGCGGTTAAGGTTGCTCTCGAACCGAAGACTAGAATTATATCTTCCCCGGCAACTTGCAGAGATATAAGTCGGCTGCATTTTGGACTTGTTTTGTGAGATAACAAGGAGCGGAGAAGAAAGAAAGAGAAGCAGGCAAAATGCGCCTGAAACAGAAAGAACAACATAATAGTGCATCATCTTCTTCCAATGTTTTTCAATAATTCAGAAATCTGAAGTTTTAAGGCCATAATTTATCCGGAATGGATTATTAACTGAGATTAAGAGGCCCTCCTCGACAAATTGACATTTGACTTCTAGAGTTCCTTCTGGCGACAAAATTATCTCCACTCGATGGTCTTTTACCTCGTTTGGCAAACACGTTACACACTGTTTTCTCGTTAACGTGCATTTTGCATGTGAATAATATTTTTGTTAGTATTTTAATAAAATAAATATTATTAATTGTTTTGATCACCATGAAAATTTCCGATTAATTATTTATGTTATGTTGTTAACAAGTTTTTACTTTGCTAAGCTAATTATTTTTGTCTAAGTTTATTAATTTTTATGGTTTACCACTTTGTTAAAGCTTAATTTATTACAATAGAATTTAAAATTTGATCATAAGGAAAAGGTTAATATAATCTTCGTACCATAAAATTTTTTTTCTTCTATAAAAGAGATATATGCTTTCATTCTATGAATATAACTAAGGTTACTATAGAATCAGCTTTAAGCATATATTACGTATTAATTTATTATTATATAATATAATATAATAAGAGTACTTTTGCTTACCAATTAACGTGATGGAGTGACATAATATCATTGATATTTCTTGAGGTGATGTGATTACTCTTTCGAGAAGTGATGTAATATCCAAACAGATGGAGAATTAGCCGCCAAGTACAATCACTTAGACGCGCCGTGCGAGACATCAAAAAATATTTTTATTTCTAGATTTGTAAATTCTTCCCTTAAAAATTAATAAATAATTTTATTACTGTTAAATTTGCTAACAAAAGTCTTCAAAAACATTTAAAATTATTTATAATAATATTCTATTCAATATATTGAAAATTAATATATTAACTGTCAATTATTCATTAAATAAAGATATTATTATAAATATAATATTAATTAATCTTACAAATTTCCTAAAAATACTCGAGATAACAAAACTTTCTATTATTTATTATATCATTTCTTATTATTAATACCAAACACTTCCTTAGAAAAAGAAAACATAGCAAACACTCCCTTGAAAAAGGAAAGCATTTAAACTTCCTGGAAAACCAGTAGGCCAGTCACGACATTGTAATTTTCATCTTAAATTGGATCAATTGACAATTTGTTGTGTGTACAGAGCAGAGTTTTCCGCATGCACCCCACAACTATGCTTTTCAGCTAAAGCACAAAATCAAACTCTTAAGGAGCCCATGGATATTTCTATTAAGACCTGCATCAAGACCAATTGTATGATACGAAATGGGAAAGTAAATTGTGGCACTTTTAAAGGTTTTGCAGAGGATAGAAAATTAAAAAGATAAAAAAATTGAGAGAGAAAAAAAATCCAAATTAAGATGGAAAAACTATGATTTTTTGTTGGTGTGATTTGGTAAGGAAAATTAAAAAGTGGATGGAATTAAAATAATTTTATTAGAATCAGCTCTAAAAATGAAAATCTCGAATTTAAACTTTAATTATAATTAAAATAATTTTGTTTTACATCATTTAATTATTTGATTGAGTTAAAAAATAATATTATTTCATCATATATATTTTAAGTAAAATAAAACAATTCTAAAAGTAAATAAATATTTTATGGATTTATAATATTTGACTCCTTTTTATTTTCTCTCGTTTATTTTTTTATTTCAAATGTTTTATTTATGAATTTGAAATAAAAAATGACAATCTCTTTTATTATTATTATTATTATTTTTTTTATGATATCAGCTCAACTGCAGCTTAATTAACCTAAAGGTGAAGCTTAAATATTATGAGTTATAAATCCTAACAGGCAGTTACTATCGAGCAATTTCGGGGAAGAGACTTTCAAGTGAAGGTCATATATACTATTACAGACTTTCTTATTCAGAGTTTTCTGGTAAAACTATGTAGAAAATATAAATGCAACGAATTAATAGGTCTTACGTATCAATTACTGTGTGACTTTTGCGGTTGAAGTCGATTCTAACGCGCAGTTAAATATTATTTTCCCAACAAGACGCAAATGGAAAATTCAGGGGAAAGAAAATGCAAGAGAAAATGATTGATTCTACGTACAACTTCAGGCAAATAAAGAAATGGGCGGAAAACTTTATCAACAATTGGAGTTGTTCCAGGAAGGTACGTTTAGCCCTTTCACCACTTTAATGCCGGACGATGCACTGGATATCTTGACCTGCCCAAAACAGAAAGTTCAATGATCAACGAACGGCACTGGATATCTTGTCTTGTCTGAATTTGTCCATAAATATTAGAAGTACTAATAATGCTAAAACAACAAAAAAAAAAAAGTTTCTTAAATTTCATAACTTTAATTAAATAAAATTTTATATTTTTATTATATTTAAATAAATTTTTATTATTTAATTTCCACTCATATAATCTTTTAACATTTAATTTGTATGTAAATAACTTATTAAGCTTTTAATCTATACATAAATAATTCCTTAATATAAATCATTCTTTATTTTAAATGAAAAACTTATTTACATACAAATCAAATTCTAAGAATTTATTTGGATAAAAAAAATAAAAAAGTTTATTTAAAAATAATGAAATAATTCAAAGACTTTTTTTAATATTTTGACTTAATAATAATTATGTCTTGCATACGTACTTGTGATACAATTATTAAAACCTGGTAAAATGAAATAGGTGTCGAGCATTTATGTATTAAAAGGTTGTAAATGTTAGATGGCCCCTTAACCGAACAATCTCATCAATAGACTTGTTACATTTGGTTTAAACAAAAAGGAATAGAAATTTTGAACATTGAGCTTTTATCCTATCAAGAAGAATTTACAGTAGATAGATTAAACTCATCAATTTTTTTTACTCGGCTAAATATATTCGGCGGGCTGAGATATTAGATATTGTCATCTGATTTATTGATGAATCTGTTGCTGAAAGACTGTTCAACAGGAATTAATAACTCTGCCAACAGGAAAATACAGGTCTTTTTGGTTCGGGAAGAGCAAATAAGGGTCCACTAGTTCCAGTTCTTTTCCTTCTTTACATGGTCGCCAGGCCTGCCGATGAATTCACATATATCAAATTTTAGACAGAAATATTGCACTGATGGGAAGGACACTTCAATTTTGATGACTAATTACAGGTATACCCACATATGCAAGATGTGTCTGGGCATGTTCCGTTTGGTAAAAACCACTATTTTTTTTTCCGGGCAATTTCAATCTTGACAATGATAGAGATGTTTTAATTCCTTGAGTTGGATTCCCCATGAAAATTTTACTTCCAGCTGACTTTTACATGTGAATTGTAGACATCTACAAACTCGTAATAGGATGCTTCGGGCTCAAAATTAGCCATATCAAAATCGAGATCAAACCCCATAGGGTTATGACTTTTCTCATTACATATTTACATTTAGATTTCTTTGTTCCTCTGTGGAATTTGTCCCTAGCATCTCATTCATATAAAGGAGGTTTTTTTTGTTTCAATAATAGTATTTAGTGATTTTTATGTTTTATTTTTCAAAGTTCTTTAATCTTTTGGTCTAGTAAGTATAGTTTAATTTTAATAGTAAATGATTGAATGTAATTCTTTGAATAAAAATAGATACACTTTTGAAAAAAAATCCAATACATCTATAGCCATTTTTTTTTTCTTTTGTATATTGATATATGAGGATATCTCCCATTCTTTTGTTGAAAACGTTTAAGTACATTTTATGGGTGTCATTCCGCCAAAAAAGGCTTCATAAGTGTTCAGAAGCTAGTATCCTTAGAATAGTGAAATAAAGGAAGATGCAACTAATTAATCACCGAGGTGACATACTTGAAATTGTAACCTCATTTAACAGATTAGACTCTATCATTTGAAGTGGATTGAATTGGTTCTGCAACAACACGTCCAATAAAAAATGCAGGTTCTACCGGTAAAGGAAGTGTTATGGTCTCGCTTGCCAACATGACAATCAAAGATGACGTGGTAGGTCTGTCTGGTGGGTCTTCTTGGACGCACAACAAGCCGATGCGGATGCATTTAAGAACCCGAGTGGCCACACACGACTGAACAAGGAGCGGGTCTGTTAGCTCCATTCCTTGACCTTTAGACCATAGTTTCCATGCCTATAATGTTACTTAAAATTAGAATGGTACGGCACTACAGCCATCTATTTTTTGAAGACAAAGATAGGATAAAAACGTACAAACGTTAGGAGGCTTTCACCACACTCTGAATGATGAAAGCCATTGTTCCTTTTGCTGCTTATTATCTCTAGTAAAAGGACTCCAAAACTGAAAACATCGGATTTGATGGAAAAAAGTCGTTCCATAGCATACTCTGGTGTCATGTGTCCACTATTTCAGTTCATAAGAATTGATAAAATCAGGTTAGATTATGGAAATATCAGAAACAAGAATCGTTAAGTTTGAACATTATGCTGTCACAAAATTGAAGGTTGATTACAAATTTTAGATCGTAAAGAACGGCCATGTTCCTCTGGAAAATAAAGCTCAGCAAAGACTGTGATTGGATGTACTGGTGTTCCATTTTACGAGTTCATTGCCAATTCTTTCTTTTCAACAAAATTTTATTTGACACATATGCAATATTAAAGACTATTGTAAGAACCTAGATTGGTAAAAAAAAAAAAAAAAATTTTGTAAGCCTAGAAGTACATGGGATAGCGGACTTACTATGTTCTAACCACTCTATTTGTATTTGCTTCGCTTTGATTTCCACCAAAAATTCTTGCCATTCCAAAATCTGATATCTTTGGGTTCATCTCGTGATCTAGCAAAACATTGCTAGCTTTAAGATCCCTATGAATAATTCTAAGACGAGAATCCTCTTGTAAATACATGATGCCTCGGGCAATGCCATTAATAATGCTGAGGCTCTTCGGCCAATCTAGTTGCATACCAATGCTTGAATCTGTAAAGAACAACCCAAAAGAATAATAGTAGTTAGTTGATTTTTTACCATATTTCATGAAGAATCCTGTTAAAAAACAGAATGAACAAAGCAGAAACAAGAATTTTTTGTTTGAGGATCAAACCAGAAAGGAACATATCAAGGCTTTTTATAGGGCCTTCGTAGACAAGCAGTTTTTCGTTTTGTTCCAAGCAGCAGCCCAGGAGTCTCACAAGATTTCTATGTTGTAGTCTGGCAATTAACATGACTTCATTCTTGAACTAATATAACCCTTGCCGAGAAGTTCTAGAGAGCCTTTTAACTGCAATTTTTTTACCATCTGCCAATTTACCCTAAAAGGAGGAATGAAAAAGCATCATAAAAGAATTAATTTTGTGAAGTTGAAGAGGTGCATCTTATACTAAAAATATAATACTCCATCACCATGGTTACCTTGTATACAGGGCCAAATCCACCTTCTCCAAGTTTATTTTCATCACAAAATTGTTTCGTTGCTGTTTGTAATATATCTAACTGAATCGAAGGGAACTCCTGAAATCTCACCCCACTCTTACCTTGAAAATTTTCACCTGAGTACTCGTCGCCAACTCTTCCTCCTAATTCAAGTAACTGAACTTCTTGGATGTTATGATCTAGAGTTACTTCAAGAGAAAACAATTAATTGGCATAACAATTGAATCGAGAAAAAATGAAGTTGAAGTAAAATCCAATGCATACCTTGAAAATTTCTCCTTCTCCAAAGGAAAATACTTCTAGAACAGAACAGAGCAGAGTGACACCAAAAATCCCGGATAAACTTGCAACAATAGGAATCCACTTTGATTCGCCTTGTTTGACACCTGCTAAGTCTGTTACTCCAAAACAAAGCTATCTTTCAGTTGATTTTTAGTGGAATAAATTTCTTATTTTTGTATTCTTCCTGCTGTTTCTATTTTGCAGATATTAATTAATCTGTTATTAGTTTCTGTAGCAGGTATTTTTCCTCCTTTCTTTTTTGATGGATGAAAATTTCAGTAATTAAAAATTAGCCAAGCTAAAATGAAGAGTTTTCATTGTGATAAAATAGGTTATATAAATCGATATTGTAAAATCTTAAAGCAAGAGTAAAAAAATAAGAAAGGCAATAGTTTAAATGATGGTAATGTTACAGCAGTAAATTTAGATAGTGATTTAATTATTTTGATTTATACACATGATGATTGTAATTATATTGGTGATCCCAACATTTAGTGAATAGTTGACATAAGAGCGGCATATTATTGTGTTTCTAAGAGGAAATTGTTTAAAATTTACAAAGTAATATGAGTGTGCACTATTGGAATTGATAATATTATTATACAAATTAGTATCGCATGTTGATTTTAAGAAATGTTAGACACATTTTCAATATAAAAATGAATTTACTTGTTATTAATATCCTTACTAAGAAAAAATATTCCATAGGTTATACATTAGGAGTATCGAAATTAGGATTGTTTCCGGAGGCTTGAGATTAGTGTTTATTTATATTGTTTTATACTTTTTATATTCTCGAAATTTATAATAGATTTTTTCTCTCATGTATGGATGTAGGCAATTGAATCTAACCATGTTCAATATGACCTCTTACTTATGATTTATTTTGTGTTAATCTTATCGTGGAATTTATTTCTGTTTAAAAAATCCAACAAAATTCTCTAGCATCTGGTGATACTAACCGTTTGAGCCACTTGGTTTGTTTAGTGAAGGAAGGGATGCTTCTGATTCAACTCCAGGATGCTTGATTATCGTAGTGTTTGTTGATTCGTCTCGAGGTTTTCCATAAAATGGATATATCTCATACCTGATGTTACAGCGTGGTCGTAAAACTCTCGCACCTTGTTTTCCAGTCGCGAAAGATGGGATTGCAGCAATTGAGCTAAGTAGACAAGATTGACAGTCAGCAACTAACAAATCAGGGGTGGATTGAACAAGTCAATACAGCGTCATGAAATTTGAAACATTAACTTCTGTAGCTGGATACTTGTGGTTAGAAACATTTGAAAGCATCGCATTCAGATTGTCGAAAGTCTCGGCCAGACTCTTTTCATATTTATCAAAGCCCGTTGCATTTGCAGTATTATTCATATAAATAGAAGGTGATAGGTCCATGAGAGAGGAGAAAAATCTATAGGAATAGCGCACTAGACATTCAACATACCATATTATCGCTTCTTTGTTACCAGGGCACCGCTTCACCATCTCAGCGCGTGCATTGTTAATGCACCGTAGGCAGATATCGGGGTTCAACATCACCTCTACGGAGGAAAAGGCCATAAATCTTGCCTGGATTATCCCCGACCGTATCGTTAAAGAAACCATAAATACTTCCTTGGCCATAAAGCATCCCGCTGAGAAGGCGCTGAAGGTTGTTATCGAACTGGCTGGAACGATTATAATTAGATCTTCCCCGGTAACTTGCAGAGAGATAAGTCGGCTGCATTTCGGACATGTTTTGTGAGATTACAAGGAACGGAGAAGAAAGAAAGAAGAGCAGGTAAAATGCTCCTGAAACAGAAAGAACAACATAATAGTGCATCATCTTCTTCCAATGTTTTTCAATAATTCAGAAATCTGAAGTTTTGAGTGTCAGAATTTATCTGGAATGGGCCAGAATTTATCCGGAATGGGTTATAAACTGAGTCTTCTGACTAGTTCTCTTCCACAAATCCCGTCTGCAGAAGAAATTATCTTCACGTTCTTTCACCTTTTTTGACCAAACTCGAATTATTGTACTGTTTTTGTTAGGCTAAAAGCCTCCAATCCAATCACACCAACGGAAACGAAATCAAACAATAAATCAAACACACAAGAGACAATAATTTAACGTGATTCGATCCAACTGACCTACATCCACGGATGAGAAACAAGATCCACTAGTTGTAGAGAATTACAAACTTACATCAAATCATCAACCTCACTCAACAATCAATACTCATAAGACACTCTCAATCTCTTCTAGTCTTATGAAGTATTCTCTACCCAAACAAACACAAACCTAAACTCTTGTGCATCTTTTCAACATAACCAAACACATACCCATATATTCCCATACATCATACCTATGTGGACCCTCTCAATCTCCTCTAGTCCACTCACAAACAAACACACACCCATAAGACGTAGAGTCCCAATACTCCATGGGGTGTCTATCCCACAAAATCCTACAACTCTCTTACATCTTTTTTCTCATACCTAACCCTGTAGAGATTCACCTATTTATAACCATACAAACTTACCCATTAAGAATCTCTCTTCTCTTAGAATTCTTCTCCTGTAAGTCAAACTTGCCTATTAAGAATCACTTTCCTTTTAGAATTCTTCTCTTGCAAATCAAACCTACTTATTAAGAATCTTCTTTCTTTTGAAATTCTTCTTTTGCAAGTCTTCTTGTCCATCAAATAATATATGATAAATCTCAAAAAAATTTCTAACAAATCTCAAACAAATCTCTTATGGGATTTGAGTCAATATTTCCAACAGTTTTCTCCAATACCAAAAATAATATTATTAATTGTTTTGATCAACATGAAAATTTTTTATTAATTATTTATGTTACGTCGTCACCAAACTTTTACTTTGCTAAGCGAATTATTTTTATCTAAGTTGTCTACTATTTTTTAAGACGTACCACTTTTTTAAAGCTTAATTTATTACAATAGAATAATTGAATAAAAGCTGTCAACAAATTAATAAAGAATTTATTTGTGAAATGAGAATAATTTGAAATTTGATCAAAAGTAAAAGCTTAATTAGTCTTCACTCCATAAAATAATTTTATTTTTTTTATAAAAGACATATATGCTTTCATTCTATGTATATGATTAATTTTACTACAAATCAGTTTTATCCATATATTATGTATTAATTTATTATTATATAATAATATTGTTATAATTTTAATTACTTATATGTATATAATAACAGTACTTTTGCTTACCAATTAATGTGGTGGATTCGTTGTTGTCATAATATCAATAGTATTGTTAAGATTCTATCATTCGAAAAGTTCGAAACTAAAGTCATCAAAATTTTAACAATATTATCTGTCGTTGTATGTAAAAATGATATCTTTTTTTTTTAATAATTAAAACTTTAAAAACATACTTTTCTTCTCGCTGTCTTGACAAGTTGCAAGGCTCCGATATTATTTCTATACACGATGACAGATAGTAATATCATTTGTTGAGGTGACTCTTTCTAGAAGTGTTGTATTATCAAAACAGTTGGAGAATTAAACACGCAGTGTGAGGCTTCAATTAAATAATTTTATTTTTTCATTTGTAAGTTTTCCTTTAAAAATTATAAATAATTTTTTACTATTGAATTTTGCCAACAAACGTTTTAAAAAAACATTTTAAAATTATTATATTAAATAATATTTTCTGTCAATAAAGTAAAAATTAATATATTAATTGTCAATTATTCATTGAATAAAAATATTATTATAAATATAATATCAATTCATCTTAAATTTTTTTTAAAGATGCTCGTTGACAAAGCTTTTTGTTATTAATTATATCACCTCCTGTCACTGGCATCAACCACTCCCCTAGAAAAAGAAAGCACTTAAAATTCTTGGAAAATCAGTAAGCCAGTCACGACATTGCAATTTTCAACTTAAATTAAGATCAATGAGTAAAGTTTTTCGTAGATCCAACTATATGTGTATATAAATCGTAAAAAATATTAAAATTTATATATTTATATTATATTTTATATAAAAATTATGTATTATAATTAATATTGATATAAAAATATAAAATATATATTTTTATTTTATTAAATTTATATATATAATTATTATTAAAATTTAAAATCATATTTTTTATTTTTATATTATATTTTAAATTATCAAATTTAATTATCCGGATGCATCCTTTGTGACATTGAGGTAAAAGTCAATTCAACGCGCAGTTAAAATATTATTTGCTAACAACAAGAAGCAAATGCACCCCCACTGTGTGATATTTGAGGTAGAAGTCGATCCAACACGCAGTTGAATGTTATTTGTTAACATCAAGAAGCAAATGGAATATTCAAGGGAAAGAAAAAAAGAAGCGAAAATCATTGAATCTACGTACAACTTTAGGCGGATAGAGAAATGGGCGATAAAGTTTTTCAACAATTGGAGTAGCTCCAGGAAGGTGCTTTCAGCCTTTTCACCACTTTATAGCTGGACGATACACTGGATAACTTACCCTACCCGAAATAGAAAGTTCTATGATCTTGTCTTGTCCGAACTTCATTGGAACAGATACCGTCGTCGTCAACTTGTCCATAAAAATTAGAAGTACTAATAATGCTAAAATAACAAAAAAAAAACCTGTGAATTTTATAATTTGGATTAAATAAATTTTTATTATATTTAAATAAATATTTAACATTTAATTTGTATTCATATAAGTTTTTTGTATTTAATTTATATTTAAATAAATTTTTAAACTTTTAATTTATACTTAAATAGTTTCTTAACATGAATAATTTTTTCATTTGAAATAAAAGTTACAAATTAAAGTATAAAAATTTATTTGGATAAAATAAATATATAAAAATTTATTTAAAAATAATAAAATAATTCAAAGGTTTTTTTTTTTTTTAATATTTTGGCCTACTAAGAATTATGTCTTGCATACATTCATGTGAGACAATTATTAAAACTAAATAGGTGTCGAGTTAATTTATTAGAAGGATATAAACGTTAGATGACCTGTTAAAAGAATAATTTATATTTGATATGAACAAAAAGGAATAGAACATTTTTAACATTGAACCTATTCCTATCAAGAAGAATTTACAGTAGCTAAATTAAAGTCATCAATTTTTTTCTCGGTTAAATATATTCAGCAGGCTGAGATATTAGATATTATCATCTGATAAGGTAGCGCATCGGAAAGGAATTAGGATCTCCAGACACAGGCAACAAATTATGGAGTTGGCTACATTCATGATTTGAAGAATAACAGTAAATATATCAGTTAATTGTTGTATAAATTTCTTGTAGAAATGTAACTATCATCAGGTTGCTAGCAACTCTTTCTTCAACTTAACTGTTATAAGTTGATTTACATACTTGTGCTGATCCTGATTTGCTTGAAAACATCTACTTTCGTTTTATCTGGGGGGGGGGGGGGGGGGGGGGATATTATGCTTCCCCAAATCACTTGTTCAAGCCAAGAAAATTCTGCAACAAGCATATTTACGGGTTAAATATAGCTTCTTCATTAGTATATAAACTTGCAAGAGACGATTGATGAGCAACTTATTTGATTTAATAAAACATGTAGAATACTGCAGAGTATCAAGATTTTGGGGGTAAATAAATTTTGTATGTCCAGTTCATACATAAAGTGACTGGATCAAGTTCACAAGTACCACTACTGAATCATACTAAAAATTCACAACATTGGTAGAAAAATGACTTATTCAACATTGGCAGATTGCTATCTACACTGAGGAAGCATCTATTAACTCACTTTACAGAGGGTCTAATTCAGAAATTGATGCTTCATTGATAGATCATGGCATTGATTGACTAGTGGATTGATGAGATTCCCGCCCCATGTTTGGCATACTTCCCTCTGTTCCGTTGTGAAGGAAAAACGCCGGTTGGTTAGGCAATGATAGTGTGACAGAGTAACTGTTAAGCATGAGAACAATGGTAGTCATCGTAGGCCTGTCAACTGGATCTTCCTGAACACATAATAACCCAATTTGGATGCATCTAATGACTACATTTCTAAAGTATCCCTCAGAATAGGATTCAACAATTCCAATGGTGTCCCATCCTTCCAATGTTTCCAAACCTGCAGTGGTTCATCAAGTAAGATTCAAAAAGTTACCTCACCTTAAATTTTAGTTTCGTATTTCGTATAGGCTGAATTATACTCACGTAGCTAAGGAGGTCCTCAGCACCATCTGTTTGATAGAAATTACTGTTCCTTTGGCCACTTATAATTTCTAGAACTAAAACACCGAACTATATGCATCTGATTTCACAGAAAACTGCCCTTGCATTGCATATTCAGGAGACATGTAGCCACCGCAGAACCATTCGCAATGTTAGTATAATGACAAGAACATATATTTTTAGTTTGACCTAATAATTTATATATGTTAACAATAATCAGGATAGCTTGTTATAAATGATTTAGCTGGAGGTGTTAATATCTCGCAAGGATTCCTAAATTCGATTAGAACCAGGGGAGACTCAAAGTGAGCTTTTATTTCTTTAAGTTGTTCAACAATTAGGATGCAACAACTCATGGTTAAATTGCCCATGAAACTTATGCAAACAAATGCTAAACATGTTCAAAACTTACTAGGTACCAACAACTCTTCTGGTGGTTCCTTGAGTTTGATCAACACCAAAATTCCTTGCCATGCCTTGAGATCATGGTGTATGATTCTAAGCCGAGAATCCTCGTGCAGATAAAGCATTCCTTGAGCAATCCCTCCTATGATCTTGTACCGTCTTGACCAATCCAATTGTCCTTGTTTTGCAGGATCTTCAAAAATAAATAAATAAGCAGTTTTGTTCACACAGCAAATCTTGGCAATGTTTAAAATCAATTCAAAAACCCAACAAAATTCTTGCAACAGTATATTACACGTACCAAAAAGAAAATAGTCAAGACTTTTATTGGGCATAAATTCATACAAGAGTATCTTTTCTTCTCCTTCCATGCAAAATCCGAGTAGCCTCACTAGATTTCTCTGTTGAAGCTTGGCAACCAATCCAGCCTCATTTTTAAATTCCTCAGCACCTTGCCCTGAACTTCTCGATAACCTCTTCACAGCAACTTCTTGTCCGAAAGGAAGGGTACCCTGAGAATGTAAGATAACCCTTCATTAGAAAAGCTTCCTGAGAGTTTCTCAAACTCTTTTTCGACTCTGTATGCATAAATAAAATGGCTACATGTGATTAAATACTAATAATACCTTGTAAACTTCACCAAAACCACCTTCTCCTAGCTTGTTCCTATCTGAGAATTTGTTTGTGGCAACTTGTATCATGCTAAAATCATACTGCAGTGACTCTATTGTGGTTATATCATTTCCTGCTGTAAAATCAAAATTGCAAATGTCACATTCTGTAAAATATTATCAAAGAACAGGTAAGACCAAAGAAATGAGATTGTTTTGGCGCAAAATAAGTTGTGTTTTACCATTTTCTCCTTCTATAGCTTTGTACTTCCCTGCTTTCCTTTTTAATAGACAACAACCCACGAAAAAAAGCAGAACAGAGGAAATTGGAGCAACAATGGCAATAATTATTTGCCACGACTTTCGGCTTTTTCCTGCAGAAGCAATAAAGAATTAAAGATGTGTCACGATAATTTCTAATACTTCTCAACATAAAGGATACTTAGAAGGAGGAGAGAATACGAGGAAGGCTACAACTATCAAATAAAATAAAATTCAAATTCATTTAATCGCTTTTAATTGGAGATGTCTCTGCAGCACAATCTCTCGGGTACCAGAGCTTTCCATATGTCAATTCCATAAAGGAAAGGCAAATTTAGTGTTGGTAATTTTTTGGAAGAAAACTAGAAGGCATATAATCGTCCTAATTATAATTATTTAACTCAACTAATAAAAAATAAAAAGGCGATGGTACGGATGATATGACTGCACCTGGACCTGCTGGAGAAGGATCACAGACGGAGGTGACGGAACTGAAACTGCAGCTTGATTATAGAACGGGTAAACTTCATATCTAATGTTGCAGCTAGAATTCAGCACTCTGCCCCCTTGCTTTTCACTGCAACAATTGGGCAGAGCCGCTATATTTCCTCGCAGACATGTATTACAATCCGAGCTTTGCAGGTCAGGAGTACACTGCACAAGGCTGTACAGTGTTTGAAACCCTGAAATATTCGCCTCTCTGGTCGCAAAGTTTTTTAAACCTAACGTAGCATTTACAGCCAGGGTTGCTGCATTTTTCATCGAATCAGCCAGTATCTGGTCAAAACACTCTTGTTCTGTGACATTTCCTGTGTTCCACATATAGATACAGGAACAACGGTGGCAATGGAAAAGATAGATCGATTCGAGTAATGTAAGAGGCAATTATCATACCAAATCAAAGCAATTTTTTCAAAAGGACAACGTTGAGTGACATCGTTGATAGCGGTAGACACACATTCTTCGCAGCTACTATTTGAAACATCACCCCTGCATAGAAACAGCCCGCAGATCACGTCAGAGTTTCTGCCGGAGGTTATGTTCTAGAATCGATTGCCACGGGTGGCGTTGGAGGATAGAGAGGAGAGCAGGTGATTGAGATCGGCTTGGTAAGTATCGTTTGTAGGAAAAGTGGTCGTGTTCGAACAACTATGGTAGAGGTAAGTGTGTTGCGCTTCAATGGTAAGGGCTAGGAGAGGAAAAACAGAGTTATGAAGGACTTGTAGACAAACATTTGTTCTGTTTCTCTTTTCCTCGGACCATAACAGAGATGAGTTTCTCAATATGGGGTTTTCTACCGGCACTGAAAGACTTGTACTTCCAGAAGCCAACCGCGAAAAAGCAGGTGTAGCCAATTTAATGGGTCGTCTCAGTCAACCTTGAAAGGTGTAAAGACATTTACGTACGTTTGATGGATGGGATGGTTGTTAGAGACAAATGTCAAGTGCAGCTTTCACATTCATGGTCCCTTAAAATTGCAGCCCCACACACTGATTGGAAGTTAGTGCTCCTGATTGTAACATACTTTTTTTTCATTAGATTTGGATTTCCCTGATCCTGCCATCCCGTTCATCTAAAGGAGGTTTTGTTTTTTTTTTTCAATAGTAGTATAAAATAATTGTTTATGATTTATTTTTCAAAGTTCTTTAATCTTTTGGTCTAATAAGTATAGTTTAATTTTAATAATAAATGATTGAATTAATTATTTGAATAAAAATAGATACACTTAAAAAAAAATCACATACATCTATAGCCACAAATTTTTTTTTCTTTTGTATATTGATATATGAAGATATCTCCCATTCTTTTGTTGAAAAGGTTTAAATACATTTTATGATTTCATTCAGCCAAAAAAAGGCTTAATAAGTGTTCAGAAGCTAGCATCCTTCGAATAGTGAAATAAAGGAAGATGCAACCACTAATCAATCACCGAGGTGAGACATTTGAAATTGTAACCTCATTAACAGAACAGACTCTATCATTTGAAGTGGATTGAATTGGTTCTGCAACAACGCGTCCAACAGAAAATGCAGGTTCTGATGGCAAAGGAAGTGTTAAGGTCTCGCTTGCCAACATGACAATCACAGATGACATGGTAGGTCTGTCTGCTGGGTCTTCTTGCACGCACAACAGCCCAATATGGATGCATTTAAGAACTTCAGTGGGCACACACGACTGAACAAGGAGCGGGTCTATTAGCTCCATTCCTTGACCTTTAGACCATAGTTTCCATGCCTGTATTGTTACTAAATATTAGAATGGTACAGCACTACAGCTATCAATATTTTGAAGACAAAGATAGGATAAAAACATACAAAGGTTAGGAGGCTTTCACCATGCTCCGAAAGATGAAAGCCATTGTTCCTTCTGCCGCTTATTATCTCCAGTAAGAGGACTCCGAAACTGAAAACATCGGATTTGACTGAAAAAAGTCCTTCCATAGCATACTCTGGTGCCATGTATCCACTATTTCATTTTACAGGAATAGATAAAATCAGGTTAGATTATGGAAATCTCAGAACAAAGAATCGTTGAGTTTGAACATTGTGCTGTCATAAAATTGAAGAATTGATTACAAATTTTAGATTGCAAAGAGCAGCCATGTTCCTCTGCAGAATAAACTTCAGCAAAGACTGTCATCTGATGTATTGTTTTTCCATTTTACGAGCTCGATTCTGATTCTTTCTTTTCAATAAAATTTTATTTGACACAGACGCAATATTAAAGATCAAAAGAAAACAAATGAAGAACCTAGATTTGTTAAAAAAAAAAAAAAAAGAATTGTGAGCCTAGAAGTTCATGGGATGGTGGACTTACTATGTTCCAACCACTCTATTTGTATTTGCTTCATTTTGATTTCCACCAAAAATTCTTGCCATTCCAAAATCTGATATCTTTGGGTTCATCTCGTGATCTAGCAAAACATTGCTAGCTTTAAGATCCCTATGAATAATTCTAAGACGAGAATCCTCATGTAAATACAGGATGCCTCGGGCAATGCCATTAATAATGCTAAGACGCTTCTGCCAATCCAGTTGCACACCAATGCTTGAATCTGGAAAGAACCACCCAAAAGAATAATAGTAGTTAGTTAATTTTTTACCATATTTCATGACGAATCCTGTTAAAAAACAGAATGAATAAAGCAGAAACAAGAATTTTTTGTTTGAGGACCAAACCAAAGAGGAACACATCAAGGCTTTTATTGGGCATGTATTCATAGACAAGCAGTTTTTCGTTTTGCTCCAAGCAGCAGCCCAGGAGTCTCACAAGATTTCTATGTTGTAGTCTGGCAATTAACATGACTTCATTCTTGAACTCAAGTAACCCTTGCCCAGAAGTTCTAGAGAGCCTTTTAACTGCAATTTCTTTACCATCTGCCAATTTGCCCTAAAAGAAAAAATGAAAAAGCATCATAGAAGAACTAATTTTGTGAAGTTGAAGAGGTCCATCGTATGCTAAAAGTATAATACACCATCACCATAGTCACCTTGTATACAGGGCCAAATCCACCTACTCCAAGTTTATTTTCATCACAGAATTGTTTTGTTGCTGTTTGTAAAATGTCCAACCGAATAGAAGGGAACTCCTTAGATCTCACCCCACTCTCACCTTGAAAATTTTCATTTGAGTAACCATCGCTAACTCTTCCTCCGAATTCAAGTAACTGAACTTCTTGACTGTTATGATCTATATTCTCTTCAATAGAAAACAATTAATTGGCATAACAATTGAGTCAGGAAAAAAATGAAGTGGAAGCAAGATCCAATGCATACCTTGAAAATTTCTCCTTCTCCAAAGGAAAATACCTCCAGAACAGAACAGAGTGACACCAAAAATTGCGGATAAACTTGCAACAATAGGAATCCACTTTGATTCGCCTTGTTTGCCACCTTCTAAGTCTGTTACTGCAAAAGAAAGTTATCTTTCGGTTGATTTTTAGTGGAATAAATTTATAATTTTTGTATTCTTCTTGCTGTTTCTATTTTGCAGATATTAATTAATCTGTTATTAGCGTCTGTAGCAGGTATTTTTTTGTTCTTTCTTTTTTGATGGATGAAAATTTCAGTAATTAAAAATTAGGCAAGCTAAATTCTCTAGCATCTGATGATACTAACCGTTTGAGCCACTTGTTTTGTTTACTGAAGGAGGGGGTGCTTCTGATTCAACTCCAGGATTCTTGATTATCGCAGTGTTTGTTGATTCGTCTCGAGGTTTTCCATAAAATGGATATATCTCATACCTGATGTTACAGCTTGGTCGTAAAACTCTCGCACCTTGTTTTCCAGTCGCGAAAGATGGGATTGCAGCAATTGAGCTACGTAGACAAGATTGACAGTCTGCAACTAACAAATCAGGGGTGCATTGAACAAGTCCATACAGCGTCATGAAACTTGAAACATTAACTTCTGTAGTTGCATACATGTGGTTAGAAGCATTTGAAAGCTTCGTAGTCAGATTGTCGAAAGTCTCGGCCAGACTCTTTTCAAATTTATCAAAGTCCGTTACATTTGCAATATTATACATATAAATAGAAGGTGATAGCTCCATGATAGAGAAGAAAGATCTATAGGAATAGCGCACCAGGCATGCATCATAATATATGATAGCTTCTTTGTCAGCAGCGCATTCCTTTACGATCTCAGCGCTTGCTGCGTCAATGCAGCTTTGGCACATATTGGGTTGAACATCACCTCTACAGAGGAAAAGGCCATAAACCTTGTCTGGATTTTCCCCTTCCGTATCGTTAAAGAAACCATAGATACTTCCTTGACCATAAAGCCGCCGGATGAGAAGGCGCTGAAGGTTTGTCTCGAACTGGCTGAAACGACTATAATTAGATATTCCCGGGCAACTTGAAGAGAGATAAGTCGGCTGTATTTCGGACATGTTTTGTGAGATAACAAGGAACGGAGAAGAAAGAAAGAAGAGCAGGTAAAATGCTCCTGAAATATAAAGAACAATATAATAGTGTATCATCTTCTTCCAATGTTTTTCAATAATTCAGAAATCTGAAGTTTTAAGGCCTGAATTTATCCGGAATGGGTAATTGGCTGAGACTGAGAGGCCGTCCTCGACAAATTGACTTGTTGACTTCTACAGATCCCGTCCACCGCCAAAATTATCTCCACTCCACGGTCCTTTACCTCTTTTTGTTAACACGTTACACACTGCTTTCACGTTAACTTGCGATTTGCATGTGAATAATATTTTTGTTAGTATTTTAATAAAAATAAATATTATTAACTGCTTTGATAATCCTAAAATTTTCTGATTAATTATTTATTTTATGTTGTTAACAAGTTTTTACTTTGCTAACCTAATTATATTTGTCTGAGTTTACTAATTTTTAAGGTTTACTACTTTGTTAAAGCTTAATTTATTACATAGAATTTGAAATTTGATCAAAAGGAAAAGGTTAATATAGTCTTCACACTATAAAATAATTTTATTTTTTTTATAAAAGACATATATGCTTTCATTCTATTTATATAATTGATGTTACTATAAATCAGCTTTATGCATATATTACGTATTAATTTATTGTTATATAATAATATTTATATAATTTTAGTTACTTATATAATAAGAGTACTTTTGCTTACCAATTAATGTGATGGAGTGACGTAATATCATTGATATTTTTTGAGGTGATGTGATTCCTCTTTCAAGAAGCGATGTATTATCAAAACAGCCACAGAATTAGCCACCAAGTACAATCGCCTAGACACGCAATATGAGAAATTAAATGATTCTTTTATTTATTATAAATCGTGAATCTTCATAAGATTAAAATTTTTTTCTAAATTTGGAAATTCTCTCTTAAAAATTAGAAATAATTTTTTACTGTTGAATTTTACTAATAAAAGTTTTAAAGAAAAGTTAAAATTATTATATTTAATAATATTTTCTTTCAATTTTAATTAAACTTGAAAAAATTCTTAAAGATACTAGTTAACAAAAACTTTTTATTATTAACTACATCATTTTTTATTAAAGATACCAAACACTCCTTTGAAAAAAAGAAAGCATTTAAACTTCTTGGAAATCAAACCAGTAAGCCAGTCACGACATTGCAATTTTCAACTTAAATTGGGATCAATTGATCATTTGTTGTATGTACAGGGCAAAGTTTTCCGTATGCACCCCACAATTATGCTTGTCTGCTAAAGCATAAAATTAAACTCTTTGGGTAAGAGTTGGAATGTTAAATTGAATGGTAGTTGCGATTCCAACGCTTGCCGCACTTGCGATTCCAACACGCAGTTGAATATTATTTGCCAACAACAAGAAGCAAGTGGAAAATTCAAGAGAAAGGATAAAGAATAGAAAATCACAGAATCTACGTACAACTTTGGCCAGATAAAGAAATGGGCAGTTAAGCTTATCAACAATTGGTGTAGTTCCAGGAAGCAGCTTTTAGCCCTTTCACCGCTTTAAACGCGCACGATGCACTGGATACCTTCAGCTGCCCAAAAGTTCAATGATCAGCGACAGGCATTGGATATCCTGTCTTGTCTGAACTTCATTGGGAAAGATAATGCAGAATCAACTTGTCCATAAATATTAGAAGTACTAATAATACTAAAATAACAAAACCTCTTTAAATTTTATAATTTTGATAAAATAATTTTTTATATTTTTATTGTATTTAAATAAATCATTAATACTATTTAATTTGCACTCATATAATTTTTTTTTATTTAATTTGTATGTAAATAAATTTTTAAAATTTTAATTTATACATAAATAATTCTTTACCATAAATAATTTTTTATTTAAAACAAAATTTTATTTAGATATAAATTAAAATATAAAAATTTATTTAAATGTAATAAAAATATAAAAATTTATTTAAAAATAATGAAATAAATCAAAGTTTTTTTTTTTGGCCTATTAATAAATATGTCTTGCACACAGATACGTGAGACAATTATTTAAACTTGGTAAAGTGAAATAGGTGCCAAGCATTTATAATATAGTAAAAGAATATAAACGTTAGATGGCTTGTTAATAAAACAATCTCATCAGTATTCTTGTTACATAATATGAACAAAAGGGAACAGAAATTTTGAACATTGAACTTTTATCCTATCAAGAAGAATTTAGAGTATTTAGATTAAATTCATCAATTTTTTTTTTAGTCAGCTAAATCTATTCAGTGGGTTGAGATATTAGATATTATCATATGAATCTTTTACAGAAAGACTGATCAACAGGAATAACTCTGTCAACAGGAAAATGCAGGTCTTTTTGGTTCAGGAAAGAGCAAAGGAGGGTCCACCAGTTCTAGTTCTTTTCCTTCTCTCCATAGTCGCCAGGCCTGCCAATGAATTCACATATATCAAAATTTAGACAGAATACCATATTGCACTGATGGGAGGGACACCTCAATTTCGACGACTGTTCTCTCGTTAACGTGCATTTTGCTGGTGAATAATATTTTTGTTAGTATTTTAACAAAATAAATATTATTAGTTGTTTTGATCACCATGAAAATTTCTGATTAATTATTTATGTTATGTTGTTAACAAGTTCTTACTATGCTAACCTAATTATTTTTGTCTAAGTTTACTTATTTTTAAGGTTTACCACTTTGTTAAAGCTTAATTTATTACAATAGAATTTAAAATTTGAATTTTAAGGAAAAGGTTAATATTGTCTTCATACCATAAAATAATTTATTATTATATTTTTATAAAAGAGATATATGCTTTCATTCTATGTATATAATTAACGTTACTATCAATCAGCTTTGTGCATATATTACGTATTAATTTATTATTATATAATATAATACAATAAGAGTACTTTTGCTTACCAATTAATGTGATGGAGTGACATAATGTCATGGATGTTTCTTGAGGTGAGGGTATAAGTGTCGAGGGTTGAGATTTAAGTTTTGAATTCGTGTGATTTTGAGATTCGGATATTCATTCATCCGATGTTTCAGATTAATTTAATCGTCACGATTCACACTCTTGTGAAGTATTGTCCATTTTGGCTCCTCTGATATCATAATTTTATCCTACAAAAGGTTCCTCATAAAGGAGAGATGGTGTGAACCTTTTTATATCCCAATGACCCTCTTATTATGTTCGATGTGGGATTCAGGACTCTTCCTTAGGTCCGTGACATTCTCCCCCACTCAACCTCGTGACGCTCTCGTCACGGAAGTTGATCACTTTGCCTACCTCCCTCGAGGCGTTTAGCGTGGATCAAACGGTTTAAGGCTGACTCTGATACCACTTGTCATGGGTCGAGACTTAAGCTCCGAACCCACACGGCTTTGGGACCCGAGCATCCACTCATCTGACGTTTCAGATCAATCTAATCGTCACGGTTCACACCTTTATGAGGTATTGTCCGCTCTGGCTCTCCCGACCTCACGGTTTTGTCCTACAAAAAACACCTCACAAGAGAGAGATGGTGTAAACTATTTTATACCCCAGTGAACCTCCTATTATGTTCGATGTATGATTTAAGACTCTTCCTTAAATCCGTGACACAAGCACTTAGACACGTCGTACAAGATTTAAAATAAATATTTTTATTTGTATATTTGTAAATTCTCCCTTAAAAATTATAAAATTTTTACTGTTGAATTTTGTGAACAAAAGTCTTAAAAAAAACATTTTAAAATTATTATGTTAAATAATATTTTGTTTCAATATATTGAAAATTAATATATTAACTGTCAATTATTCATTAAATAAAAATATTATTATAAATATAATATTAATTAATATTAAAAATTTCTTAAAAATACTCAAGTTAACAAAACATTTTATTATTTATTGTATCATTTCTCATTATTAATACCAAACACTTTCTTAAAAAAACAAAACATTTATTATTGATACCAAACACACCCTTGAAAAAAGAAAGCATTTAAACTTCCTGGAAAACCAGTAAGCCAGTCACGACATTGCAATTTTCAACTTAAATCGATACAATTGACAATTTGTTGTGTGCACAGAGCAAAGTTTTCCGCATGCACCCCACAACTACTATGCTTGTCAGCTAAAGCACAAAATTAAACTCTTAAGGGGCCCATCGCTTTTTCTATTAAGACCTGTCATCAAGACCAATTGCATGGTAGAAAATGGGGAAGGAAATTGTGGCACTTGTTAAGGTTTTGCAGAGGATGGAAAATTAAAAAGAAAAAAAAAATTGAGACAGAAAAAATCCAAATTAAGATGGAAAAACTATGATTTTTTTTTGTTGGTGTGATTTGGTAAGAAAAATTAAAAAGTGGATGGAATTAAAATAATTTTACTAGAATCGGCTCGAAAATCTCAATTTTAAATTTTAATTGTAATTAAAAACAATTAAAATAATTTTTTTACATAGTTTAATTATTTGATAGAGTTAAAAAAAAATAACATTATTTTATCATATATATTTTAAGTAAAAATAAAACAATTCTAAAAGTAAATAAATATTTTATGGATTTATAATATTTGACTCACTCCTTTTTTATTTTCTCTCGTTTATTTTTTTATTTCAAATGTTTTATTTATGAATAAAAATAAAAAATGACAATCTCTCCTATTATTATTATTGTAATGATATCAGCTCAACTGCAGCTTAATTAACCTAAAGGTAAAGCTTAAATATTATGAGTTATAAATCCTAATAGGCATTTACTACCGAGCAATTTCTAGGAAAGGACTTTCAAGTGAAGGTCATATATACTATTACAGATTTTCTTAGTCAGAGTCTCCTGGCAAAACTATGTAGAAAATATAAATGCAACGAATTAAACGGCCTTAGTATCAATTACTCTCTGACTTTTGCGGTTGAAGTCGATTCCAACACGCAGTTGAATATTATTTTCCTAACAGCAAACAAATGGAAAATTCAAGGGAAAGAAAAAGGAAGAGAAAATCATTGATTCCACGAACAACTTAGGCAAATAAAGAAATGGGCGGTAAACTTTATCAACAATTGGAGTAGTTCCAGGAAGGTACTC